CTATTATATTAATCTTCTAATTATACTAGTATACTAACCTATTCTACCTTACTTACTTACTCTCTAAGAACTAACTCTTAGGTTATCTTAGAACAACCTTTATATTAATACGCTAAGATAAAACCTAAATTATCTAAAGTAGACGCTTTTACTACTACCTATAAGTGTATTAACTAGTATAATAAAAATTAAAATAACTAAGTCTAACTCTATATAGATTATTAGTTATATTTTCTATAGCTTAAATTAACTAAAATATATACCTTTACTATTACTATTAAGCTAATACTTAAAATAACTAAGTCTAACCTAGTAGCGTCTATTTAAATAGCTAGAATATTAAAAATATAAAAATAGCTAAGTCTCTAGAAGCTAGAATATATAAGTAGATATTCTAATATCTAAGTAGAAAGCTAACTAAGCTACTCTTCTCTAAGTTTAGCTAAACCTTCTCTAGCCTAGAATATCTTATCTTTCTTAGCCTTCTTAAACCTACTTATTACTAACTCTTATACTTCTTTTATAAATTCTTTTAATATACCTTATTATCTACTAGTATTCTTACTAATATAGACTTATAATTTTATAGTAGATTCTAACCTTTTCTAACTTCTTCTAAGCTAGTCTAAACTCTACTAGCTAACTTTAAGTACTTTATATTTTTTTATCTCTAGCTAAAGTCTAACTTTTACTTTAAGTAAGGTTATTAATAATAATATTCTCTTTCTATAAATATCTTCTAACTATAATATTATTAATATATATAACTTCTAACTATAATACTCTATACCTAAGACTTTAACTTTATTTTATATATTTCTAAACTAGTTTATACCTCTAGTAATAGCTTTTATATCTAAAGTAACTTATATATTTCTTTATATATAAATAAGTTTAATAAAGTATAGAATAATAGTATAATAGGTATAGCTTAGACTTATATAAGAGGTAATAATAATATAGTATAGTATTAAAGAATAGTGTAATAGGTGTAGCTTAGATTTATATAAAAAGTAATAAGAATATTAATAAAGTAAATAATAATTTAGCGTAGTAATTACAGCTTAGATTAATCTAGTAGATATTAGTCTAACTAAAAAATATTAGTATAATTTATTAATTAGATATTATACTAATAAGAAAGAAAAGAATAATTATACTTAATAAGTAAGATTAAGGTATTAATAAACCTATATATCTTAGACCTTTACTTTCTTAGCTAGTAGACTAATAAGCTTTATAGCTGCGCTAGTAGTAGACTATACTTATTAAGATTAAGAAAGCTTCTTTTAAAATTAACTAAGAATAGAGCTAGAGAAAAGAAATAGGTAGCTTAGAAGTAACTTTAGCGTTATTACTCTTTTTATTAACTTTAGCCTTACGCTTATAAAAAGTAGCTACCTTCTTAGTAGTAGTAAGCTATAGAAGGTTAGTAAAGTTTATTAAGTTATTACTATTACTTATCTAAGCCTAGCGTATATAAAATATTATACTACTTCTTATTATACTAGCTAGATACTACTTCTTATTAGTAGTAGCTCTAGCTAAAGTAATTATAACTTATATAAATAGATAATAATTAAGTAATTAAGCTTATATAAGCTACGCTTTTTGCTTATAAAGTATTATAGCCTTCTTAGTAGTAGGCTAGAAAAGGTTAGTAGAGTTTATTAAGTTATTACTATTACTTACCTATATATAGCTAAGAGAATATTATACTACTTTTTATTAGTAGTAGTCTTAGCTACTAAAGTAACTATAACTTATATAGGTAGATAATAATTAAGCGCTATAGTTATTATAATATAAGAATATTACTTCTAAGCGTTTACTACTTTAGTTATAATTTAAATCTAGTAGCTAATAGTAAACTATTAGTGTATACTTAACTAGGCTAGTCTTAATAGCTTTATTCTCTAGGTTTATCTTAATCTTAGAAGTAGGTATATAATAATTAAACGCATTATTATTATTATTATTATTATTATTATTATTATTATTATTATTATTATTATTATTATTATTATTATTATTATTATTATTATTATTATTATTATTATTATTATTATTATTATTATTATTATTATTAGTAGTAGTAGTAGTAGTAGTAGAAGTAGGTATAGAAGTAAAAGAGATAGAGGTAAGTAGGTAGTAAGTAGAGATTTACAGCGCTTTAGAGCCTATACTTATACTATTAGCTATTACCTAGGCGTAATAAAAGTAAGAGTAAATATAGATTATAAACGCTATAGTAATATATATAAAGTTATCTAATACCTAGATAGTAAGTAATATCTCTAGCTAATAGAATATAATATTAGTATAGACATTTTAGTAGCTAAGAGAATAATAAGAAAAGAAATAGAAAAGTGTTATAAAAATAAAAATAAGAATAAGAATAGTAAGCTATACTAATAAGTAATCTAGAAGCTTTGCTATAGTAGATATTTACTATAGTAACTACACGCGTTGTAGTAAAATATAATATTATTATAATTAGCTACTATAGTAGCTATTAGTAACTATTTAGATATAAGTAAAGTAAGTAAAGGTAAGATAGTAAAATACTAGACTTAGCTAACTAAACTAAAGCTTTAATAGTTCTATACTAGATTTATATATATTAAAATTAGTACTATAAAATACTACTCTAGCTCTCTTTATTAAGAAGGCCTATCTTAAATTAACTAATCTACTATATACTACTAATATATTCTAAGCACGCTAGCTTATTTACACTAAGAATATAGTTAAATAGACTAGTTTTATATATACTATAATATATTAAGCTCTCTATCTCTAGTTAGTATAATAATATCTTCTAGCTCTAATAATAGAGATAAAGTAAAGCGCGCACTTAATATTAACGCTAAGTTACTCTTTTTATAAAGTTTACTACTTATAATTCTTTACTATAATCTTTACTTATACGTATATAATAATCTTTATAAAGATTAAAGAAATAACTATAACTTTATTATAGGCTTAGCACTTCTAATAATACGTTTAGTACTAAGTATACTATAATATTACTTTACGTACTATAGAAGAGTAAATATAAGCTTATATGTTTTTAAGTAGAGATTATCTAGACTTAGAACTATATAGTATAATATAGTAGTACTAGTATATTATTATATAATATTATAAAAGTAACGTAATATAGAAAGTTAGATAGTATTATAATAAAAACGCGCTAGTCTATAGTAGTAGGTATAGTCTAGAGCTAGAGTAGCGTAGGTAAAGCCTTTTATAACTTTTAGAATATAAAAAAAGTAGCGTAATAGAAGTATTACTATTTTTATTATAGTTATAAGTGTAGAAGAGAGCTAGTAGGTATACGCGCCTATAGATAGGCTAGATCTCTAAGTAGAACTAGCCTAGAAATAGCTACCTAGAATACGCACGTAATATAATAAATTAAATTAGGCTTTAAAATCTATTAGCTTTTATTATAATAAAATAGTATTATAATCTTAATTATTATTAGTATACCTTATAGATAATAGTTGTATATTAAGTAATAATATATACTATATACTTATTATTTTATAAAACCTACCTATTATATCTTTGTAATAGTAATTAGTGTTGTATAATAGATTAGGTGCTAGATATAATTTATTTGCTAACATGTGCCTAATAGCTATTTAATATTAATATTTGCCTAATATGCTATTACGCTCTAACATCTAACAGATCTTTAACACATGCGCAAAATAACATATATTCTTAATATTATAGTAATAGACAAACTTTATAATTCTTAAAATATATTATAATTTACAATTTAATATTAAGCCTTGTTATTATTCTGTCCGCCTTACAGATCGCTATCGCGCAACCCGGGTTTGGCGGTATGGTATTAAGAGCTGACGAGGAGAGATTTCAGAGATCTGCGCAATTGCTCACTCACGTGATACCGCGTTTGGTCGCTACCGGGATAAATTCCTGGACGCACGATTGGTGCGGCATCTTCGGGTCTTCGCGTTTGAGACATGATGAACATGGTAGCTTCCGTCGCAGGAACTTCAGGCTCGAGCCCCCTTCTCTTCTTATACCTAGACCCTTTATCGATTGACCCGTTGGATGCATTGAAAGTCCTTCAAGAAATTCGGTGTACCTTGTCCTGAAGTACCTATCGACTATCTCATCGCCAGGTTCGCTTCGGAGCGACGCATCGGCGCCCATAACCTCCTACGCGTCGAAAATCCGCGTCATATCGCTCAACAATCGCTCCAGGCAGGACTAAACTTACTATTATACTCAATACGCAGTTCGAATGGAGCCGCTCAAAAACAAAAGCATCCTACTGGCATTGCTAGTTGCATTGCTGCTCCCGCCAAACGCGACGCGTGCGCGACACTAAGGTCTCGTCCCGCACTAACTTCGTTCGCGGGCGTTGGTTGACCCACTTCATTATGGGCATTCCGGGGTATGTGCTCCCCATGAGATTTGATCAACTAATAACGTTGACTCCTCACCACCAGTTTACGACGGTCAATCGAAGCATGCGAGGAGATTGTACCAATAGCACAGCTTGCTGAAGAGCACTATGCAGAATATGGAAGGCCGTTGAAGATCGCGGTCGACGAAGCAGACTGGAGATTTCATTCCGTGTCACCAGCCCAGATACAGGCGATGCGCAAGAGTCAGACAGCCTGGGGATTCTTCATACTGTTAGAGTCGATGACTAACTGCCTGACGCAGATGAGCCGCGCTGTAACCCGTTGGAACGGGGTATCTTTCATCGTATCTGCAAGATCCTTCCCTTGAACATCCGGCTCGTGTTCGTGAGCGATGGACCAGATGTTCCACCAAAACGTGGCCGAGATGCTGGACGCCGGGTGGATCGCAAACAACGTGCACTATTGAACGAGATCCTGGATGGGCTTGGAGTAGCTCATATCGAGGCACCTGGAGAAGCCGAAGCTGAGTGTTGTCGCTTGCAAACTCTTGGTCTTGTGGATGCTGTGTGGTCAACAGATTCTGATTGCTTGATGTTTGGATGTACCTTTTGGATCCGCGATCACCGAATAAGCACAGACACGTCAAAGAAGACCCAGCACAATGGCGAAACCAAGAGAGACGAGAAGCGGGTTAGAATGGTTCATGCTGAAAAGCTCAAGGAGAAATGCCGACTAGATCGTCAGGGCTGCGTGCTGTTCGCCATGCTTGCAGGCGGCGACTACAACGAAGGAGGCCTTCCGAAATGCGGTGCTGACAATGCCTTGAAAGCAGCCCAAGCGAGTCTCGGTCGTAGCCTTTGCAGCAGACAAAACCAAGACGAGTGTAGCAAATGGGGCGCTAATACCCTCAGTAACTTTTTTAAGAAGACAGCGCCGGGAATCACTGTCCCTCCGAACTTTCCACGATACGAACTTCTGCAGTTCTACAACCAACCTAAGATACATTCGGATGACTGGCTCCGGGGCCATGCTAGAGAGAATGTGGACTACGACCATCCACTTCGTGAGACACACTTGTTCCTCAAAGCATGTCCGCCAATCAACATGTTTTGGAAAAAGTACTTCAACCACGTCGGCCCCATACTGCTCTCTCGCATGCTTGCAGCATGGGACGAGCCGTTGCCTGGGACTGCTCCGTGTGCCCTCACTCTCGTGAACACCCGACAGACGGCTGCAACGGACCCATCATCTCACCCCGCTCTAGAGATGAAGGTCAAGTTCAAAGCGTTTGATATCACGAAACTGGATGTACGAGACCTAGCCGCATACGTAACACAAAGGGACAAGCCGATACCAGATATCAGCGAAGCACTGAGCCATATTGTCACTTACGAAATGCCGGCATTTCTCTTACGCAAGGTCTTGCCGATTCCCACACCGACAGTAACGAAGCCTAGTGGAGCAGAAGATTCGCTGAAGCGAAAGCATTCAACCTCTGGTGAGCAAGACACGAGCAGCCCAGTCTCATCAAAGAAGATGCGCCAGCCTGCCAAACCTGCAACTCCTGCCACAAAGCCCTCCAATACGTTTTCGGGTAAATCCGCTTCTTCTCCGATGCAGAGCAGTACTTTGGTCACGCCTTCAAAGCAATCGATCCAACATTCGCCCTTGGCTTCGACCACATCCCCCGCCACACCCGTGGATCTGTCAGGCGAAGTCGGCCTGCGAAGACCTCAGCCGCGAACACCTAGGCAAAGTCCGAGCGAGCGGTTCGCACTCTTGCTTCAAAGCGTCAAGAAGTAGTATGAGCTGTCCTGAAATTTACGTTCACCAAATGCGCATGCTTATAGTACGCAAAAAAGGACCGTGGGTATCATTGAATGAAAGTAGCTACAACCGCAAATTCTATGCCATCAGTGTCTATTGCTGTGGTTTGTACACCATACCTCCCGTCCTCGTATAAGCGTCTGTGCTCGCCGGCCCAGCCCACCGTCTGCTAACCTCCTCTCTATGCTTAACCTCCCTCTCGTTCTGCACAGTAACGCAGCAACAGCAGCAGCACCCCTTGAGCAGATCGCTCCCAAAACTGCCTTCAAGTTTATACGCGCGCCGAATACGTGTCCGTTGCAGCATAGGGAATAGCCACCACAACCCGCAGGAAAGGCCCATGACCATGCAGTGTCCATTCGTGGAGCTGTGGCCCAGCATATCCGTGGGGTCTTTCTTCGCGGATTTCTGGGACAGGCGGTACGAGGTGCGGCCGTAGAGGATGCAAGGGCAGAAAAGGCCTGTTAGGCAGGTTGAAGGGTCGGGGCTGCATGCGCAGATGCCGTTTGACCATTCGTGTGATTTCTCTAGCTCCATGTTTGGGTGTGATATCTGGCCTGGCTGGTGTGCAGCAAAATCGAGGCCGTTGGGGCCGTGTGCGGCGTCTGGAGAGAAGACAGCATGGAAGTTACTGTTCTGGTTTGAGAAACCGTGTGGTGAATAGGGCTCGTTCGGATACGGCGAGTTTCGGAGCGTGGGGGAGGTTGGATTGTCTCGTGGCTGTTCTTTTTGCATCGAGTTGGCGGAGATGGGGGTCATTGGTGTTTTGTGTGGTAGCGGCGAGGTTTGATGCGTGCCCGATGGCGGCGTAGGGGGGATGGGCGGCATGGCATACGTCCGGATGTTCGTGTTGATGGGTGACAGGTTGCTCATCTGCCGGGCGTGCCTGCTCTGCTGTGTCTCGACCTGTGGTATCTGATGAACAGGTTCTGGTTGTGGTATTGGCGAAACTGAGGAAAAGTGTTGCGCTTGCGGAGCATGCTGAGGCGAGCTGGGCGAGACGGGGGGTTTAACGTCATGCGCGTAAGACGGCGGTATGTAAGCTGTTTGCGATTGGGGCGGGTTGATCGGGAGCTGCGCGTCAAGCATCGATTGGGGGCGAGGGTCGATCGGCGTGTATCCCACTGGCGATGTTGGTAGTGAGATGGGCATGGAATGTGGCATGGGCGGATCATTCGGCGAAGATGTGTATACGAAAGCACGCATTTCTGCGGGTGTCTGCGCATACGAGAAGTGCCGTGATGAATCTGTGGTGATTTGAGGTTGCTGAGGCCGCTGAGATTGTTGAGGCTGCTGAGGTTGCTGAGGCTGTGCCGGCTGCTGGTATTGCTGAGGTTGTTGATACTGCTGAGGCTGATGCTGTGGTGCTTGCTGTTGCGGCTGTGTATAGGCCGGGGCATCATCCTCGAGAGGTTGCTGCCATGAGAACCTGTTGTGCTGCTGGGAAGTCATTTGAGGCTGGAGCTGCTGGTTCTGTCCATGCTGTCGGGGATCCATAATGCGCGATTGTCCTCAAAGGAAGTCCGCTTGCAACAAGGTGCTTCTAACAGAGAAGACGAGTTGTGTACTATATCGTATGTGAAACCGGTGTTTACTCTGAGTGTAGAGTCAGCGGGAGCATCCGGTGGCACAGTCGTTATGAGCTGTTGGAGGTGAGCTGGAATATGGGTGGGATCAAGCCGGGGGCCAGGAGGTCTGATATCAGGTCAAAGGGCTGCACGTCAGGTACATGCACAAGTACGAGGTCCAAAGAAAGGCAGCCCTGCATCAGAGCCGCCTATCGCTCCGGTTGGCTCTTGGCCATGCTTCATGTCATAGGCGAGCAGCATAGTGGACGCAGATTCGTAGAGCTCCCGCCGTAAGATGGCTCTCTTTTTAGACTTGCAGTGAGGCGCGGGCTTGGCCAATTGAGGTTGGAGGTGAGGTGTGACAGCGTTGTGGAGCGAGTCGGTCGGCGCTTACGGGTGGCTCGGCCCCAACGTGCAGACCAATCACGGGGCCCTCCCCTCCACTACGCGTTTTCGGCCACCGTTCCTGGGTCGCATTTAGGGCCCTTCTCTTGCATCCGGACAAAGGCTCCTCATAATTGGAAAACGCCGCAGTTCGAAGAACAACGCGCACAGCCCGGTGGCGCAGATACTGCGGGTCCAGGATTGTTCACGTGTTTCAACGCGATCGAGCCATGCCCTATGGTTGCAGTGTGATGATAGCACTGGGCACGTAGTCAAAGACACTGTGCTTGGAACTACACATGTACTGTCGCGGGTGAGACACATGATGGTCATGTTTGAAGTGGTGACAAGTTTGATTCAGGACTATACAAGGGCGGCGGAATGCGCGCTCGCCGTGAAGGTATTATATGAATCGAGATGGTATGGTGAGGATCGGGACGAGATAAGGGTATGATCTATGCGTCCTTGTCCTGCTGGGCCTTTCCACGCTCCTCCTTGTTCTCCGCGCCTGGACGCTCAGTGGAGACGGTTCCTTGCAGCTTAGCGGTTTCGGCAACGCCCTCGCCCTTTTTGCTCTTCTCTTCGTGCTTGGAGATCTGCGAGGTGTGGTGGGTGTTGTCGTTGGAGAGTCCCTTTTGCTTGCCAGACATCTCATTCTGGCTCTTGGTCTCGTCCTTGCGGGGGTCGGGCTGTGCTAGTTAGCATCCTGTGCGCAATGGAGATGTTGATACACTGACCTTGTCGGACTGGTCAGGAGATTGGCTGTCCTTCTCCTCGCTGTTCTCCTTGGTAGGCTTCTCCGGGTTCTGCTGATCGCTCTTTGGCTCCTCCTTGGATTCGTCCTTGGAATCGTCGTTGGACTCCTCCTTGGTTTCCTCCTCGGGCTCGTCCTCCTTGTTCTCCTCTCCGACGGTAGATCCGGTACCAGTCTTCTCGGCACCTCCCTCGCCGTGTGGGTCGCCAAGGGGGTGGTGTTCAGCGCCGTGGTTCGTGTCTTGGGTTAGGACAACGTAGAGACCAAGACCGGTGCCGACGACGGCTGAGGCCATCCTGGATATATCGGTTAGTATCAGGTATTTGATAGAGCTTGACACGATGTGTACACAGCTTGGCTGCTTTACGAAAGCGGAATAGCACTTCCACACGCCCCAACTACTCAATTCGAGGGCTGTGTAACATGCTACGTATCCGCATTCGCGCTCATCTGATTATCGAAACGAAATTGACATACCATGGGATATCGCTGCTCTTAGCCTCGCCTTCGGGACCGTGGCCGCTGGCGTAGGTTCGGCGTTGGACAGCTCGTTGCCATGGCTGGAGCTCGGCAGCGCGGATACACCTCGCCGGGCGAGCTGCGCGTGCCAATGAGGAAGCGCGGAGAGCAGAGGACCTGATGAAAGACATGGTGAAGCTGTAGAGAGACGAATTGAAGCTCGCGACGGGCAATTGATGGCAGACTCGGAGTTGGGATGCGCGCAAGAGAAAGATCACGTCAGTCAGAATTATCGGTACGTCACATTGTGGCCCCTGCTTCCGAGGTCTAGCTCCGCGTTCTCGCATCACGTGTACTCGACCTCGAATGCTCCTGGAGGTCCCGAACTTGCGTGAGGCTGCAGAGCTATCGCATAGCCATCATTGCGTATAGCTTCTTCTGCAATTTCTGATGAGAGGTGTGTTACATCGACATTAGGAAGACAGCATGTCGATGTCGGTGTTGACAATCACGTCCTGGGCCAACTATCAGAATGTGATTCATAGGATACGCGCATGAACAATTCATCATAGTGTGCAAATGAAAGAGACTATAGTGAAAACAGTGCTATCCGCTGAAGCGTTTGTAACAGCTCTTTGACACCCTGTCATTGCACAGAGGCCGTGCACGGGTTGGAGCTCTCAAAGCGACGCAGGCAACAATTGTCCAAAAGCTTCCATAGCGCTCTCCCCCTTCAACACGGCCACTGGTGCCTCCCTCCTATAATAAAACTGCAGCTTGCCCGCAAGCTTTTCGATTCCCCTCTCTCCCTCCCGCTCTCTACCACGCCTTTGAAGCTGTACAGCACCTTCAACCCCGCCAAAGCTGCCCCGCCACACCGCACGCGCCTCAGACGGCGGGCTCACATTTGTGATACCAGACGCGCGAAGTGCTGCAGGCCTTCTAAACACCAGCCATGGCGCCCTCTTCAGTCCCGCCCAACCCCACCTCCCATAATGTCGCCCAGCTGCTGCCCCGGTTCGCCGACGACGACCCCGATTTCCGCTTCATGGCCCTGAGCGACCTGCACGACATCCTCCTCACTGCTCACCCCGGCCTACTCCTCCACGATGATGTCGTCTCGGCCAAGACGGTCGAGGGTCTCCTCACAACACTGGTCGACACCAACGGCGAGGTCCAGAACCAAGCCATCAAGTGTTTGGGCCCTTTCGTCAATAAGATCAGCGATAAGACGCTGCCTGTCTTGATTGACAAGCTCTCTACGCTTCCCACCGGCAACACGGTCGACCAGTCCATACCCGCTATGGCCCTCCGCGAAGTCGTCATAACCCTCCCCCGTCCTACCACCGGTGCTGCGCGCAGCAAGTCGGTACAAGATGCATACAGCGCCATCAGCAGGGTCCTGATACCGCGTCTGATCGGATACAACGTTATACAACCAGCACAACAAGGTCTGACTCAACCGCCCAAGGGCATGTTGGAGTCAGACCTCGAGAAAGGCTCGGACAGCAACGCTCTCGACGTTCTCATTGAAGTCGCCAAGTGCTTTGGTCCTATGTTGCAGGATGTGGAAATCCAAGCTTTGCAGCAGATCACCTTCGCCATCCTCGAGCACGACCGGGCTAGCTCTATGATGAAGAAGAAGTCCGTCACTGCCATCTCGGTACTGGCCGGTTACTTCTCAGACCAGCTTCTGAGCAGTTTCCTTTCCAAGGTCATCGAACTTCTGCGGGATCCTCACCTCACTCGCAGTAAGCGGAAGCTGTACATCACTATCTTAGGCTCCATGGCCCGGTCGATTCCGCGCAAATTCGGTCCTTACCTAAAGACGCTGGCACCCTTTGTCCTAAGCGCCTTGAGCACACAGGAGCAAGACGAGGAGATGGATGTCTCAGACGACGAGGGTGAGCGCGACCCCGAAATCGACGAGGTGCTCGAAGCCGCCCTTACTGCCTTGGACGGATTTCTTGCCTCTTGCCCGCAAGACATGCGCATGTACACCGACGAAACCATCGAAGCCGCAACGCGCTACCTCAAGTACGACCCGAATCTGGCGCAAGACGACGACGATGAGGACGATGATGATATGCCAAGCGACGAAGAAGACGCGCTTGAGGGCGATGACTTTGAAGAGGAGACAGGTTATGATGACGATGAGGACGCAAGCTGGAAGGTCCGTAGGTGTGCGGCCAAGGTACTTTACACTCTGATCTCGACGCGGAGTAACGGCGATCTTCTCGACGACGGGACTCTCTACGATCGGGTTGCGCCAGCGCTTATAACACGTTTCAAAGAGCGGGAAGATAACGTACGCTTGGAGGTCCTGGCCACTCTATCCAACTTGATCAAGAAGTCGGGTGACGGACCCTCACCTGTCAAGTTCGCCGATGAGACTCCTCAGAGTGGAACAATGCCACCACCGCCAAGCAAGAAGCGTCGTCGCGGCGGTAGCGATGCCAGCATGTTTGATCTGCAGGGTAGTTCGTCCTTGTCAATGGGCTATGCTTCACCCGCACCAGCTGGCACGCCTCCAGTCGGCCCTCGCGCAAGCTTAGCTAAGATCAGCCCGGAAATTGTCAAGGGCATCGCGCAGCTTCTGAAGCAGTCATCATGCCCGCCTACTACCAAGCAGGCGTCTATCTCTTTGATCAAGGACATCGTCATCACCCAGCGTGGTGGTCTCGATGGGTACCTCAACCAACTGATCAATCCTGTCGTAGAAGCTGCAAAGATTACTGGCGGTTCGACAAGTAGTGCTTCCGCTACCGCCAATACCTTACGCACACAAGCTTTGCAGCTGATCGGAGCCATCGCCGATACTCACTCGTCCAAATCTATCCAGCCATATGTAGCGGCTATCATTGACGCGCTCCTCCGTGGGGTCAAGGATAAGTACAGCAAGTTGTCCATCGAGGCTCTGGCAGCAACAGAGCAGGTCATTAAGGCCCTCACACCTCCCCGGGCTGCTACAGCAGGAACGGAGAACCAGCAACATCTAGAGCAACTATTCGATGCGTTAGTCAACCGTATATCAGCGAACGATGCTGACGTGGAAGTTCGACGGAGTGCTATTCACGTCCTTGGATTGTTGCTTGGTAGGAGCTCTGGTGAACAAGGACTCCTCTCCTCGCCAAAGCGATCGGCTGGACTTGAACTTCTGGTAGAACGCCTGAAGAACGAGTTGACAAGGCTTGCTTCAGTACGTGCTGTTGATTCTGTCGCTGCCCACACCAAGGCGCAGAACGAGTTGTCAGCCAAATGGGTACAGAATGTCGCGCTGGAACTTGCTGCACAATTACGGAAAGCCAGTCGTGTATTACGCGGTGCCAGTCTAAGCGCGCTGCGTACTCTCTCATTAAACTCGCTTTCACGGAGCCAGCTCGATAACAAGACCAAAGCACAGGTGGTGGAGATGCTGCTTCCGCTGCTGAACGCTAGCGACCTGCACCTCCTGGGACCGGCTCTCATCATTCTGGCCACATTCGTCAAGGACGATGCGCAAGTCATCATGACACCCAGCCTCAACGACGCCCTCTGTCAAGTCGCTCAAGGCTCGATAAGCGGAACCCCGTTGGATGCACTTCTCCAGCTAGTACGCACCATCGGTGAGCAACGCGCCGGAAAGGCCTTGATGCAAGCACTGCTACAACAAGTTGGTGTCTCTGGGCATCCGGAGGTGGTAGGCAAGGTTATTGGTAATCTGCTTGTATATGGCGGCGACAGTGTTGGCGTAAAACTTGATCAGTTCATCACCGAGCTTGAGACGGCACAAGACGACAAGCGCAAGTGTCTTGCCCTAGTGGTGCTTGGAGAGTCTGCATTGCGCCTGGGTTCGCAATCGTCCATCGACCCCAAGCTGTTCATCAAGTACTTTTCTGCGAAGTCCGAGAACGTGCCACTTGCAGCCGCTGTCGCGCTTGGCCGAGCCGGTGCTGGAAACGTCAGCAAATATCTTCCCGTCATTCTGTCATCCATGGGACAGCCCTCTTCACCGCAGTATCTGTTCCTACACGCTATCAAAGAAGTCCTTCAGCATGACGACACGGAGTCGGAGATCATCCCGTACACATCAACACTGTGGCAAAATCTCGTTGTTGCTTCGCAGCTCGAAGACAACAAAGCGATCGGTGCAGAGTGCATTGGCAGGCTTACCATCATTGACCCGAAGACGTACCTTCCTCAACTTCAGGTAAGTATCCATAATTTTGTTTGTTTTCAACAGCTAACTCATAATCTAGGGGTTCTTGAACGACCGCAAGGAAAGCTTACGCGCCATGGTCATTTCTGCTCTACGATACACCTTCACCGATACCGATGAAGCCTACGACGAGTACCTCCGCCCTATTGTTGTGCCTATGCTTGTACAAATGCTCAACGAGCCCGATCTCGAGAATCGTCGTCTTGCTCTTATGACGTTCAACTCCGCGATGCACAACAAGCCTGACATCATCCTACCTGCACTTGACCAGCTGCTTCCATTGGCTATGAAGGAAACCGTCATCAAGCCTGAGCTTATCCGCGAGGTGCAGATGGGTCCTTTCAAGCTCAAGGTCGACGACGGTTTAGAGATCCGCAAGAGCGCATACGAGACCCTTTATGCTCTTCTCGAGAAAGCCTTCGCACGACTATCGCCCATCGAGGTCTCGGACTTCTTCGACCGCATCGTCGCTGGTATCACCGACGAGCATGACATTCGAGTTCTGTGCAACCTTATGCTCACCAAGCTCATGGTCATTGCACCAGACCAGGTCCGCTCACGTCTGGATTCTCTTGCCGAGAACTTCCGCACTGTACTTGCTGTTAAGCCAAAGGAGAACGCTGTCAAGCAGGAGATCGAGAAGATCCACGAAGGCGCCAAGGGCGTGCTCAAAGTGTCCATGCAGCTTAACAAGCAAATGGGCACCGAAGCCGGTATCGGTCAGGACGATTCACAGTCTCGCGTCTGGGCACAGTACTGGGATCAGATCCAGAAGGAGCATGAGAAGGGTCTAAAGGCTGTTGCAGAGGAGCTCAAGGAGCGTGATCGCTAGTGGCGCACAACTAGCCCCCGTCCCTTGTACCTCAACAAGTACCCAAGCGATCCTTCCCGTCCGTTAGATCCCTTTTTCCGCTATAAATTTGCGCGATGAGATAGCACTAGAAGGACATGAAAGGATGTTCGAATGCATGGTCTGCGAATGGCGCGGAAATGGGAAGTAGAGAAGGCATTTGGTGATCGCATCGACGCGATATGAATACTAAACATGATACCATCCAAATTATCCCGGGTGAACTCTAGCATGTGCCGTGATGTCGGGACATGACCTATCCCCTGTCTCATTGACGAACTTATCCGACTGGCTCACTCATCTTCTCCATCCAGAACGCCATGTCTCCCAAAAAGACCCATTGCAAGCAGCGCAAAGTGGCCCCCAACGACTGGCCTCGCCACAAACGGATAATCCGTATAGCCCCCATCCCCCGTCGTCATAAAGTGATCGGAAAGCGCCTTATCCGTACTCGTCTCATTAATCCACTTCGCCAACGAGTTCACAAACAAAGCCCGCGTCTCAGGTCGACTCGTAGCCGCAGCCCACATCTCCCAATCGCTCTTGGTCCACAGGCGTCTATTATCGAGGGGAACGCCATACTTCTGGACAACAGTCGGGTAAAAGTCCGATTGCATGGTGAAGAGAGATTTGGGGATTGCGCGCAGATTGAAGAGGAGGGCTGGGAAGATATTGTAAAGGATGCTATGGGACTCAGGGAGGTTGTAAGCGAGAAGAGTGTGGTTGGTTGAGGGGTTGATGGCTGATTCGGACCAGAGGGTATAGTAGAAATATGCATTGCGTATCCATCTGCCTGCTCCATAACCTCTGTCGCCATTGGCTTGGGCAATGACGCTCATGCAATTTAGGGCTACGATGCCTTTGATTGCGAGGTTGGTGTTGTTGGCGATGGGTTCGTTGAAGTCATCTTCAGGTTTGTTAGTGCAACGTTCTTAGTGTTGACATGCTGCGTTTTACTTGCCTGTCGTGGTCTGATGCTCAGGGTATAGACAGTTGTCTATGAGGTATTGCGACCATCGCTTGAGGATATCGTAGTGGCTCACAAGGAATGCTGTGTCGTTGGTGGCTAAGTAATACGAAGCAGCCAGAATAACCATGTTCGCGCTCTCTTCAACGGGCATCGCTTCTTCTCCTTCTTCATCGGGAACGGTGGAGCTGTAGTAGCCTATGGCGTTTGGGTAGAATCTTCCGATGTCGTGCATGGCATATTGCTCATGATAGAGTCCAGACTCTTGGAACTCAAAGACGGGCTTGAGCAGCAAGCGAAGAAGCTCCGGGTTTGCATAGAGCCAGAAGGGTAAGGCAGGGTATATGACGTCGGCTGTGTTCACTTTGCCGTCTGATGAGATCTCTTTCTGAAAGATAGTTGGACCTGTAGTGTTGTCTGCAGATTCTGTGATGACGTTTGCGGCCAGGATCTGGCGGGCGGAAAGCGCAACAATGGCGTAGTACGACTCCTCTTCAGATAGCGAAGATACTTCTGCATGTGTATTGGTCACTTTGTCCTCAGCATAGTAAAAAGCTACGTCATTCCGCAGCTTCATGGTCCAAAGCTTGGCTTCTTTTGCGGTAGCTGCATAGTCTTTGTAATGCCTGCGGATCATGTTGTTGGTATTATAATAGCAGCTGCTCGTAAGCCACCATGGTCGGAGCTCAATGTCCCCGCTAGCAGTGCGGTAGTTCACAGCAGGCTCTTGAGTTGTTCCGACAGTGTATAGCACCGACCCGGATTGGCTAGACGCGAAGCCATGCAAGAAACCGAACACTGGCATTCGATCAAATGGAGGTACCTGAGACTGATCCCGGTCGAGAGATTGATGCACTCTGCCGTTCTTGACGAACTGCCTTCGTATAGTAGTCGCCAGACCGTTTGCAGTATCGAATTCGGTGCTCATACCGGGAGAAGAGACGTAGTGTAGGCTGCCCCAGTACGGTTCCTGTTTACGGCCACGATCGGACCATGAAAGCTCATCTATAATTAGTGCTTCCCTTGAAGCTGATTAGATTTATACTGAACATACTTTGATTCAACAACTTACCAATGAAACAATGTGTCGGGTGTCTCCATTCCCTTGGACGGGCATTGAGTTTCGCCGAAAGACTCACCAGGGCAGTTCATGGTCCAGTCGAATGAAACGTTGCCGCCTGCAAGCCAGATAGAATCGATGTCTGAGTAGAGCTGTACATCATGCGAAAGCTCATCGGTGGCGACCCACTCGACTTGCAGGTAGCTGAGCGGAATACTGCTCTTGCAGAGATCTTTTGGTAGAACAGGAGAAAAGAATCGCGCCTCTACTCGCACAGGTCCAGCGGCGAATGTGAAGTTACTGTAATGTGAGTCGTAGGATACGGTGAGTGGAATGGCTTTCTGGAGACCTTGTACGGAAGGCGAGTCGCCCATGTATTCATAAGCCGTTCCATCTACTCGTATGATGCCACTCCATCCTATGGGATCGCCAGTCCAGAAAGTAACATTCCGACTGTTAAGCGTACTGCCGCCGGAGGTGGTGCTCCAAGCACTGGTGTATGGGGAGCGGACTGCGAGGGGGATCGAGGGTGGTCGCAAAGGCGAGTAGAACGGTCTGCATGGCGTGAGCAATGGAAAATATGGGGAACAGAGAGACAAACCCTGGTTGTTGAGAAATAACGTTGCTTATATAAGACAAGAGGACTAGGACGTATGTAAACATGTTGTTTGGGTTGCTTGAGCATACAGCGTGTCAATGTTCTCGATGGTCTAATATACCAAGGGCTTGGAGACCCGGAAGTCTGCACTTGTGCTCAACGGCGCACAGCGCCTGTCAGAAGGCATGGTGCCCAATAACCGGAACGTTACCTCGATAAGGCTTCTCGCAGCATCGTGTAATACAGACCATGGTCTTTGGGGTTTGTGCCAACGTAGATGCCTATCCAGGCAGGACCATATCTGAATCAAGTTATCCCATGTGTGCTCGCGCTCACGATGAGCATGCGGTGCATCTCTTCTCTCCAGATGTGCAACTTTTTCGAGCCTATAACCTACATCACGCGGCGTGCGATGGAGATCACATCTCATCTAATCCAGATCGATAGCGCCTGATGGCTATGCAAGCTTGCCAGGCCCCATCACGTCTATGCGCAGCCGGGAGGCATCGCGCCATCTACAGCCTACAATCTCCTCTTCATACTGGCTCAGGTATCTCCACATATCCGTATAACATATCTCGTCCAGCCGCCCCATGTTTATGCGTCTCGGTGCGCGAGTATGGCTCTCCTGCACTGCTGGTGGAGCATCAGGTCGCTGGGCAGGCGGAGGTTCGCGCTTGTGTGAGTCGTCACCGCGCAAGCTCAGTATCGATTGGTAACGACCCACGGAGGCGAGATGGGATACGCACGCGTTGACATTACGCGTCATATGTTGCATTCGTGCGCTGGATGAAGGCTAGGAGACATGCGCCCCGATGTCGCGATGTTGGCGAGAGGAGGACGGCGGACTTGCGCCTAAACCGTTTCGGATCCGACATGTCCGGACGAGCCTCTTCCGGGCGCTACTTCCAGATGTCCGCTCGCACATCACCTCTGATCCACAACACCAACATATCAATTGCAGCTGCGAAGACGCCCGAAAGTCGTGTGGACTCTGCGATCGGGTACCGTCAGTAGTATCAAAGATGCAGCTGAGAGTAAGCACTATCCATGGCAGGCTGCAACGCCACCAACCAAACCACTCTGCCCCACGAAGACCTAATTTGAGAGGAGTATGACTAAGTTCGACTCGTCGGTCTTATAGACGACCGAGATGGTATGCATAGAATAATCATCATGTAGCCATGGCGCTGGAGACATGACTGCATAAGACGAAGAGGCAGCCAACTTGCTGTATGCTCAGCACATCGAACCCCACCCAAGCATACATTGACAAAACCCTCAAAAGCCATCATTATGATTTCCAGTTCCCCACATCAACCAAGGCAAGTCGCTGCCCTTCTTGAAGGCCAATGCAAGGTCGATGTGTACGAAGCCACAGGTGGTGCCGTGACTTCCCAGTTCGCAGCACACAACCTTTCGCTCCTGCCACCCATACCTCCGCATTCCATCATTCACGATAACGCGTGTGGAGCTGGTACAGTCTCTCGACTCATTCTCTCCTCAGACGTAATATCAGATCTCAAGATCCACGCCACAGACATCGATCAAGTCTTCCTCGACGCACTTCAATTCGACGTGCAAAAGAACTCCTGGCCAATCGAAGTATCAAACCAGAAGTCTAAGAGCCTGTCGTTCCCAGACAACTACTTCACCCACTCTATAAACAACATCGGTATCTTCTTCACCAGCTCCGCCGGTCTCGTCGGCGCCAAAGAAATCTACCGCACACTCCAACCCGGCGGCACCGCAGTAGTAAATTGCTGGGAGGACGTCACCTGGCTCCCACCCTTCGCACTCGTACATCAAGCCCTCCGTCCAGGCAAACCCTACCGAGCACTGCCTATACTTTGGAAGGACAGTCAGCAGATCCAGAAAGTCATGTTAGAGGTGGGTTTCCCCAGGGAAAACATGAGGGTAGAGAAGAGCGAGGCTTGGGCGAAGACTAATGATTTGAAAGACTGGGCAGAGAAGTCTTGGGCGTATCTGGGTGGAATAGGTGGGTGGGTGGAGACAGATGGGGAAAGATGGGAGGAGGCGGTTGAGCTTCTGGTGAAGCATATATTGGACCAAGAGGGTACGAAGAGGGTTGGTGAGGAAGTTTGGATGAGGGCTAGTCAGTGGGTGGTCGTTGCTACGAAGTAAGTCTAGGTTCGATCAGCTGCTGGTATTATTGTATGGCAAGCATCGAATGTCAAAGGGTTTAATTTATCATTGGGAGCTATAGAGTCCAAACATGTACTGCAGAGCTGCCAATGATCATCATGCGCAGTCACTGTTCATAGCCAAAGCTAGGCCTCTCCCCCCTTCCGTTCACTCATGATTCTCAGTCGAACACTGGTCTTCGGCATTTAAGCGCAAGCCATGACATAGATCATGCCTGGAAACGGACTGGGAGTGTTGGAACTATAATCCGCGGAACACTTCTTCACCGGTGTGTTTGGTGGAGTCTTGGGCCTCGGTGGTGGTGTGGTGCCAGTTTTAGCGTCCTTGACAAAACGGTCAGCTCAACTTCAGGTTTAGATTCTCGAGACATAATGCTTACAGAAGGCTCTGGCAGAGGAAGGTCTCCTCGTTGCTTGGGCGTACTAGGTGAATTTGGAGGCGGCTTTGGCGATTGAGGAGGTGTTTGGCCAGTCTTAGCGTCCTGGAGACAACAGTCAGTTCACTTGCTGATCAATTTCCCAGAAAGTGATCCTTACACACGGCTCTGGAAGCACAAAGTCTTCTCGTTGCCTGTAGGGCGATGTGAGAAGACCGGAAGGTGGCCCCAGAGGCCTTGGAGGCTCCGGACCAAGGTTCTTGTACGAATGTTAGCTTCTGTGTGATGTATGTTTAACAGCATAAGTACTTACACATTTATATCCGCCCGGGGGTGTTGGAGGTGGAGTGTTAGGAGGGTTGGGCTCGGGATTCGGAAGATGAGGAATCTGTTCACTGAACAGAGGTTGGTTGCTGTCGATCATGGTAGATGTGTAACTGATGGTTATTGCTTGAATGACTTGTAGGGTGCTGTTGCTATTGTTGTATCAGATGCTGTAGCTGGATGCTGGTAGAAGTTGTTGTCGTTGTTATATAAAGAGTAATGGAGCGCACGGCGGACATGGTTATATACCTCTCTGACTTATTCAATTCTGATGTTCTTGTGCTCTTCAAGCGTAACGGCGTTTAAAATATCAGTGATGCCGTGGAATGGATGGAGAATGGCGAGATTGCGATAGCGGGCGATTCTTGAAGTTGACACCGTTATAGCACTTGCGATCAGTGGACCAAACACCCGACTCTAGTTCTACTATGGATATCGAGATAGTGGAATAGCCTTGATTGATGCTGAGTGATGGTTCAGCGCTTCTTCCAAGCATGATTACGTTTGCGGGAACGCCCAATCACTCAATGTGGATACCTTGAGAGTTCAACTGTGTGCATCGCAGGAATGACAAGGAATCACTCAAAACGGGAACGCAAAGTGACACTTCAAACAATATTGATAAGCCCACCATGATGAGCAGTAAACATTAGGTATGTTACATATATGTACACGTGCAGTCGGACCTCGTTATTAACAAAGTAAGAACAGTCTCCCAGAGACTGAAACCATCCAACAAAAGGTGGTATATCGAGCACCACCCAAAGCAACCCCAAGAGTCGGTGGTTGACCACCATCCAACATCGATACAAAAGACAATTATAAGATGTAGCGAATGTATAGAGTAAGGGGTATAACGCAGAACATATGGTAAAGTAACAGCGGACTGGCCGGGTATCAGAAAGAATGAAGAGGGTGAATATTCATGCAAAAGGCCCAAACAAAAACCAGATCGCTAAAGGACGTGACAAATGAAAAGCAAAATGTGAGCAAGAAGAAGCAACGACAACGGTTATGCGAGAGGCGCGTGGTTCACGCCATCATCATGAGCCTCGTACCACGCTTCTGGAGGTTTCGCGGTCTGTAATTGCCCGGGCCTAGGTTACTTCTCGGGGGTGCTGCGGCGCTTTGCGCATGTCGATCACAGTATCGCCGGCCAGCGACTTCAAAGTAGCCATCGCGGAGGACGATGCGGCAGGTCGTGCACGTGAAACATCTTGGGTGAAACTTCTGGCGCAAATCGGTTTCGAGATATTGGCCTTCGATGCCCCGGTTGCAGGCATTGCACAAAGATCCGTTGAGCTTGTGGTAGTGCTGTTCGCAATATGGCGAATTCTCGAAGACGTAGAACTCAGCTGTCGGGAAGGTATCGGCGCACGTTCTGCATGTGAAGCAATGCTTGTGGTAGCGTCCCGTGAGGCGGCCAGAAGAGTCCTTCACGGACTTTCCAACAATTGGCTCTGAGCACCCACGACAGTTGCCCTTGCTAGCAGCCTTAGGCCGGCGCACGTCTTGTTGCTGGGGTTCAGGCTCGGCCATGCGTCTTGGCGGGCTTACATTGACTTGCGCCGGGTCCTGGGGTGTTGCCGGCTCTCTTTCGAACGTGTCACGCGGTGTTGACGCGCCCATCTGTATGGCGGGGTCCATTGGCGACTCAGGGTATTTTGCATATCCACCAGGCGGAAACGTGTCCTGGCGATATCCCGGTGAAAGCGACCTTGGGTACGGCTCCGCACCATCGGGCCGCATGTAACTCTTCGGCGCTCGAACAGGCCGTGCTTCGGCGTAGGACTCCGGGCTTGCGCTTCTCTCAACATTCTCCTCGACAATGTTGTCAGGACGACTGATCTTGGAAGTCTGGCGTGAGTGCGCTGCCTCGGACTCTGGGGGGCTTGATCTGGAGCTTGCCATGCTGCGGTAGCCCGAGCTGGCGTATGAATCGTCTGAGAAGCCAGAGTCCGAAGGAGTGTGGAGTGCGTTCATGGGCGCATCACCAAGGCCAGAAGCTGCCAGTGGCGGTGGACGTAAGGAATGCGTTGGCGCAAGGCCTCGTGGCATGTCGCTTTCCGAGCCGCTTCGGCTTGAGCCGCGAGAAGGGAACATGTTGTTTGAGAGAGACATGAACTCCGGGGGGTCCAGATCGGTCATGTCTGTTGGCGGTAGATCTTTCTCTGATGGCCTCCTAGGTCTTGGTGGGGGTTGTTTCCGCTCTCTGCTGTTCGGTCGTGACGGAATTGACGTTGCAAGGTTTTCTTGAGAAGCCCTGGAAGGCTTGGTAGATTCCTTCTGCAAGCGGTCTAGGAAAGCATCAATACCTTCAGCCTGTTCGGATGCGGATGGCAGTGGTGGCAGAGCGTTGGCTCCACCCATGCTCGGCTTCGGGCGAGCAGGAAGACCTATGCTGCGATTGGAGTATGCTGAACCCCGCGATGCATTTGACGTTGTAGAAGTGCGCTGTTTCGACACGCTCTTGTTACTGGCGACACTGCCATTCGTGCCCATTCTCCTATGCCCAAGCGCCGGCCCTTCTTCCGCGAATGGTCTTGCTGCGCTTGATGTACTCGGCCTTCGGTCTGCCGTTCCGTCGAACGGTCCTGGTGCAATGCTGTTCATGCGCTTGGCGATGTTTTCTCCACCATCAAACCGTGGGCTTAGGGGTGCGAATAGAGGGCTCGGTTGAGCATAGTTTTGCTGGTAGGGTTCCAGGCGTTCTCGTGGTTGAGGTTTGGCACTCTTAGGGGTACCGTTCTTGGAGGGAAATCGAGGAAAGGCGCAGTCCAAGTTGGAACTGTAATCAGGCGAGGGGGGTGCCATGGGTCGCCCAACCGGAGTTGTCACACTGCGATTCATCTTGAAAGGAGACTTTGGTGGCGCCAGACCTGGGGATCGACTCTTGTAGTCAACTTGGTTGCTCATTGGCGATGGTTCCAGCGGCCGGAATGGTTTGTCTAAACAGATCAGCACAATGTCTACTACTGAAGTTGGCTCACCATTCTGGATGCTTACTCGCTGCGTTTGAATCAATTCTGGGCGGGGGAGGCATGCGACCCGATTGCGCTGGGCGTTCCGACCGGTTGCTGAATGTGGGACCGCCAAAGGTTGCTGCGCGGTTCATCTTGGGCGACAGTACAGAGGGCGGGGAACCCATAGAGATGGTCGAGGTGGGCGACATTGGCTCGGGGACGGGCGTTGCTGCAACTGATAAGTGAGTGTTATAGTATGCATTCGTGGCGTACTCACCCGCTGGGGGTGCTGCAGCGCAGACATGGTCGGCTAAATGAAGGATGTCAATGTCCACCGCGCAGGATGAACATTTGATAGTCGGAAGCGTGCTCATTCGTTCCATGTTGGGCGCGTATCCGGTGCTGGTTCAGAGAAGGAGTCCGAGGCGGTTCGTGCCTGGACATTCAGTATTAAGGCCGTTCACGTCCAGCGGAATATTGTCGTAAGGCTATCTCGAAGTTGGTGGCACGAAGTGGGAGCAGGCAAGGTATGCGGCGGTGGTCGAGGACGGATGATGGGCGGGAGCGCCGAGAAACAAAGGTGCAGGGTTGTTGGATCCTCAGAAACGGTGTGGGTGGGCCTTGCTGAATCAGGGGAAGCACATGCGGGCATGCAACTGAATTGGCTAGCAGTCAGGGACGGCAGCGGGATAAAGGCTAGCGCTGCTGCATCCTGCGGTCTAAGAGGCTGCTGGGCCCCACAATCGACACGCGCAATGTTGGGTATTTGATGCTAATGAATTATCATCATGAGATAGATAATGACTGCGTCTGAGCGCCGACCACCCACAGCCCGCTGAGCACAACAGGGCTGATCGGCATTCGAGATGAACACCCCATCGCCAGCCAGTAGCAAGGGACGACGCGCCCCCTTCTGCGCGTCTTTGTGTGTCCTGCACGTAACTCGCGCGTCCCTGAGATGCGGCGTCAGTGGTCGAGCACGGCGGCGTCCATGATTCGACGGCCATGTGCACGGGACGACGGCCTGTTCCTGGCTACCTGGGCATGGGCACATCGTGTGGTCCTCTCCGTGTCAGTTGCACGCACCAGAGGCGGCCGGCTGCGATGAAACCATAGTCGCTGGCGTAAAGTCTCGGACCCAACACCGTCGCAGTGACGATGTCACGGTTGCGACCCAAGATCAACAGAGTTCGCAAGCTCCAGGAGGTCGCCAATCGCGGCAACAACGTTTGCCAGATTCGTGCATCGTGTATAGCCAAGTCCTGCAGCGAGCAGGTGGCTTGAGGCTCTGGTCGCCTGCTGCCCATGCGCTGACA